CATGTCGGCCATAGGCATTACATACTCATCTTTAGGAGTGGTCATATTAAGATCTCTAAAATTGATGCATATCCTGATCTTACCATTTTTCTTAACCACTGGTACAATATTGGCCAACCAATCCGCATAACGGCAAGGTCGGATGAAACCTACTTTAAGAAGCTTTTGAATCTCTTCTTTGATCTGAGGCATCAAGTCAGGACTCATACGTCTTGGATATTGCTTACAAGGCTTGAAATCCTTCTTAATGGGCAATCGATGTTCTATCAGACTTCGCTCTAAACCAGGCATTTCTGAATAATCCCAAGCTAAACAATAAATGTTTTTTCTTATAACCTCGAGCATCAATTTTTGTTGCTCTTCAGATAAATAACCACTCATCCTGATTATTTTTGGAATCAGGTCGGTTCCTAAGTTGAAATCCAATAAAGGATCTTGTGCTGAGAAAGTTGTCTCTGTTTTCTCTAATAAATCAGGCCAACGAAATTGTTCATCTTCTTGGAAATGAACATCACATCTTTTTATTCTACGTTTTTCAAAAGCTGGTCTAAATAATACTGATTAATAAGTACACTACAATCTTGTAAATCTGCACTTTCCATAAGAAATATTATAAAAATAGGTCTGGCTTACTCAAGAGCCATATAGTACAACTTGTTCTTTTAAAAGAACATTGAATTCTGGCCAATGAATTTAAAACCCTTCTTTGGGTATTCATTAGTCATAAAAAACTGAGACATTGAAGGTACATGACCAGAATAAAAAACTGATTCTTCAACTTGTTCTGATGCTCCGAATGGATTGTCATTTGCTTCCATTTTGAAGACCTGATTGCCTTCCCATAACATTAATTGTTGATGCAGTGTGGATGGCACACATTTTGATGCATGAATCCAATCTCGTCCAAGTAAGATTTAATATGTAGTGTCTGCGTCCACCATAAAGAAAACAGAAGAAATCTTTTTTGGACCGACTTCAATTGAAGCGACCATCATGCCTTCTGGTCTGGTCGGCTACCCAGTAAAGCTAGTCATCTCAAAATCCACATGAGATAGATCGTGAATTCCCTTTCCTAACTTCTTGAGAGTCTTTAATGGCATTACATTGAAGACGGCCCCATTATCTATGAAAACCTTTGTAATTGGTTTCCCACAAATATGAGCATTAAAGTACAGAGGCTTCAAATGAGACGTCATGTCTTCTGGAATGGGAGGGAAGACTATTGGAGGGACCTCTGATTGAAAATCAGGATCCGAAATCTTTGCCCACTCTGGCTCTTCTGTAAACTCATCCACCAAACTTGCCAACAAAGGCTCCTCCTCAACCCAATTAATTTCTGTCATTCGGCAGGGGATACGTAGCCCTAGTCGAGATTTGACAGACCTTGAAACATTCTCTGGAATTTTGTCTTTGACTTCAATTTCGGGTTGAACAATCAGAGATTCCAAACGAAATTCCTCCAGAGATGGGTTAATGTTAATCTTCTCGCAATACTGACATCTGAAAACCTCAACTCTTTCATCAGACAAGCCTTTACCCTTTTTTTGCATGGACCGACCTCCCTCATTGTAATTAGCAGTGTTTCGTATGCTGGTCAGCTGCTTTGACGAGGCAACCCCGATGAGCTGACCTTCCTCTGTCTCGTTCGGCTGCTCAAACGAAACGGCCCTGATGGACCGACCTCTTTCAGTATACTTAGCAGCGCCTCGACTGTCGTTTGGTTGCTTTGATAAGACGACCTTGTCTCTGTATCTCGCAGCGTACCGGCGCTTGGCATTCCGAATCTGAGTACGATTCATGCCTGGGAAGCGAGGATCCACATTAATTGGTAAAGGTTTCTTATTTCGAGTCCATTTGTTCCCGACCGAACCCGTTCTCCTAATCGGGTGGTCCCGAACCAAAACTTGCTCCTTCAATTCCACATTAAAAGAACCATCTTGGTTATCCCATTTTTCAGCCACTGTTTTTTCACAGACCTTGAGTTTCTCCTCTGGTCGGCCACTGTTTGATGAATTCCCTTTCTCTGATCTGGAACTTGCTTGTATATTAATCATTGCTGTGGTTACTTTTGGAAATGGTTGTTGCTCTACTCCCAAAGTAATATACTTGAGCCGACCTGCCTTAATAGCCTTTTGGATCTCATTTCGAAAATGAGTGCATTGACTTGTATTATGTGTGAAAGAGTTATGCCACTTACAGTATGGTCTCCCTTTGATTTCTTCCTTAGTAGCAAACCTCTGCCCATTTGGAATTCGGATTTGACCATCAGTTAGCAGAATATCAAATATCTCATCGGCCTTTGAATTGTCAAAGGTCGGTTGCCCTTTAGCTTCAGTTCATGGTGCTGGCTTTAACTTAGAGCATACATAAGGCTTCCCTGAAATTATTTCGGCCGCCATCTCTTCTGTTTGATCATAATCAAAGTCGTATGCCTCTGTTTCCATACTAGCCATATGTTGACCTTTATTACGCCTTAAATTCTGATCCCCTTCCCTGAAAAAAGATTCTAAACGTCCAGCCTTGGATGCAAGACTTGCTAAATCTTCGACATCATGTGCAGTAAGCGCATCTCTTAGGCGACCATGCATATTCCGGACCACTAAATTGGTCATCTCTTTTTTATTGATTATTGTGGGACATCGTCCTTTCATCAATCGCACCCTTTCAATAAATTGTGAAGCTGATTCTTTTGGATATTGTTTCATTTCCAATAAATCAGTCAAAGAAACCGTTGGCAAGGGATTGAAAAATCTGGCATGAAATGACATCTCTAAACCTTCCCAAGTTTATATTTGCCCAGGTGGCAAACTCACAAACCATGAAAAAGTTGTCCTAGTTAGAGACAATCCAAACAATTGTTGTTTGTAAAAATGAGTGTTACCAATTTCCCCTAATTGTGCTGTGAAACGCCCCACATGCTCTATAGTAGATGATCCATCCTCTCCAGAAAAAGCATGAAAATCTGGTGGCCTGTAATTCCTTGGGAGAGGATATTCATTAATAATCCTTTCCAGGAAAGGTCTTTGATAAGCAGGTCGGTTGGTCATATGAGGATTTAGACCAAACTGAACCCTCAATACGTGAGCAATTTCATCACCCAAACGAAAATGTTGATGATCAGGAATATCAATGGGATTTTGCATAGGAATAAGAATAGGATCCTGCACATGTCCCCTTGGCCTTTCCTCCCTTGTAATGTTCGGCTGCACATTCTCAAACCTTGGCCCCAAAGGAATATTATTTGAGAAAGTCAGAGGAGTCTTTCCCCTATCTGTTCGGTTGAACGTTGTGGCGCTTGGAAGTGTGATGTCCACATATGATGGCCCTGCAAAATTTGCTTGCATTCTTGATGGTGACACCCCTGGCGGCGTCTGGGTGGGTTGAAGAGTAACCCTTGATAACGCTTGATCTAACATGTTCTGCATCAGATTTTGTTGCTCGCGCAACATGATGTTTTGTTACTCGCGCAACATATTTTGCATCGCCGAAATATGCTGATTGTTCAATTGTTGAACATACGACAACCAATCGGTAGGTGGTTGGGGAATCTCCCCTGGATTTGGCATGACGGGTGGTGGAACATTTTCTTCCACCGGTGCTGATGATGATTGAGGTTATGAGCCTGCCATACTGATTTTTCTGATGATTCTGCCAGACCTTAGTTGTATGTAATTATCTGTTGATGTAGGATCAGCAATCTTACATTTCTCCCACTGTGGTCGCCAATTTGTTGATGTATTTTTTCAACAAACAAAAAGTAAAATCCGAAAATAGGAAATTATTCTCGAACTTGATATATTTAGCATCTGAAATTAGAAATCTCTAAACACTGTACGGTACAAAAAATTAACTGGAAATTAAAAATACAGACTGGAAAATAAAATGGTGATCCCCAAAAGCAATTCTCTTGAATTTGATGTCGATTGAAAATGATTGAAGATACCCTGTTAGTTGCAAATTTTAATCCTTAAATACTCTTCAGAAACGGTACTGGAAACCGTCGCCTGAACGGTTACATCTCTTTTTCAACCGTCTGCTAACCCTTCTCCTGCCGACACGTGCCCCCAGCCGACCGAATTATCTTTCTCACTCTCAACAGTATCCAATTCTTTGGACCGACCGTAGACCTTCCGCCTTTTTGGCCCGAATGCAACTCTTCCGCCTTTTTGGACCGACCGCTATCCTTACGTCTTATTGGCCCGACTGCAAACCTTCCGCCTTTTTGGACCGACCGCTGACCTTACGCTTTGTTGGTCCGACTGCAAACCTCCCAACTTGCAGACCACCTGACTTGTTTGGTCCAGCCGCAAACCTCCCGACTTACAGACCATCCGACTTGTTGGTCCAGCCGCAAACCTCCCGACTTACAGACCATCCGACCTGCGGACCTTCCGACCTGCGGACTTTCTGACCTGCGGACGTTCCGACCTGCGGACTTTCCGACCTGCGGACCTCCCGACCTGCGGACTTTCCGACTTGTGGACCTTCCGACCTGCGGACCTTCCGACCTGCGGACCTTCCGACCCACTATTTCCTTAGAAATACATCTACTTTACCTGAGTTCCCCGCAATGCCCCTCGACCAATTCGATCATCTCAATTGTTAGGCCCATTTTTTCTTTTACCTTGGCTTTTTAATCTAATTCTAAATTTCATACGTAACAAAAATAAAAAAATAATACTCCCTCCGTCCTGAAATTAAGTATCAATTTGCTTTTTGCACGTAGTTTTAGAAATGATATAGTAGGAATAAAGTAGAAATAACTAAAATAACCTTATTAGTATGTGTGGTATAAAGGTAATGACATTTGTGTAATATATTGTAAGTTGTAAAGGTATTTGTAATGTTAGGTAGAAAGTACAGTTACTATAAAAAAGAAAATAAATGCTTTATTATGCAACGAACTAAAATAGAAAAATAAATACTTTGTTGTTACACGACTAAGGAAGTAAATTATCATAATTTCAATTATGATAAGTTATCACAAGATCCAACTAAAATTAGGGACAGGGTTTGTCCCTCTGTCAACGAAACGGTTCCGCGCCCAAATACACAGTGAAGTTTACGAAACACAATCCAAAGAAACACGTCCTTCTACAGTGCTGTCTCTGCTTCAGCTTCAGCCATCATCATCGTCTTCGTTGCCGCTCCTGAATCCCAGCAAAATCGAGGACGAACTGCTGCACCGCCTGCCTCCGCCCCCGCACTTCATCGACCACCGCCACTACCACCACCAGTCAATCGTCGACGACGACGCCTTCTCCCTCTCCGAAATCGCCCTTTTCCGCGACCACGACGAAGACGAAGACGAGGCCAGCGGAAGCCGCACTTCTTCCGACGGCGAAATCCCCCTCCAACCACCGAGCGCCGAAAACCCCTTTCAGAACCCTAATTTCCCCAATTCCCCTCCGGTCAACCACAGCGACCGCGTAATCCGTCCCTCGCCGTTCCGCACTATCCCGGCGCCTTGAATTGTTGACGGAGAAGCAGCATTTAGACGATGTATTGGTAGTTGAACATGATTTGCCTGACTGGGGAGAAGACCATCACACGAGGATCTATGGGGATGGCGAAGATGCTGATGTTCTCGAAGACGATGATGGCATGACAGCTTCGGAAGGACGTTTGGGGAGGTAGCTTCATGGGATCCAATGAGGACAGAGTGTAGGAATGAAAAGCATTTACTTGGTGAGACATGTAAGGAGGAGAAATGGTTGAAATACATTGAGTTTGATCAGAAGAGAATTATTGGATGCAGTAACTCAAGCTGGCAAAGCCACTAAGGCATGAAGAAGCAATAGATCCAGATGTAGGCCTTGCTGGTTTATAGGTGGACAGTTTCTTCCCAGAAAATCAGAAGTGGCTCGACCCTCCTTGTGGGCTCGATCCTGGATCTGATTGTGGTGATGGTGGATGTCGGCATGGAGGGATTGTGTATAGACGATCGATATTGGTGAACCCACTCTAACTTTATTTCTAATCTTTTATTTTGGTGTCTTTCATCTTAATTCATTGTTGGAAGCGGGTTGGACATTTGTGTACACAGCACGAAGGCTCTTACAATCACAGTTTAGTACTTTAGGCATCCCGTCCCCGTGGCATGTAATTTGTAAATTATAGCCTTTTTGGCAACCCTACATATATACCTGACACCGTGTTGAGCTTGTTTTAATTTTGGAGTTGATTTTGGAGTAGATAACATGTTTCCTTTAGTGCATATCTTAGTTTCGGACTTGAGCATCATATATCTTTTGTTTTTGAGATATATGCAATATGTGACACTTACACACCATTTTCTCCGTTAACCTGAATTTCTCTAAAATGGTTTGTCTTGATAATAATTGAACGATGACAACTTGCTAGTTCATTTCTGTAATCATTAGTCAATAGTTCCTTTCTTTTATGTTCAGCATTTTGCATAGATTTCCCGGTATAGAAACGCAGCTCCTGGCCAATTGTGAGACACCTATTTTGTCGTGTTATAGCAAAGGATTTTTTTTATTATTTATGCCTCATTGTTATTATTATTATTATGAAACATGGCTTCCAGAATCGCCTGATTGTTATGACTTCAATCTTTTTGCCTGTTATAAATTATGCTTATATACTATATCTTATTTTTTTTGTACCATGGTAAGTATGGTGATCCATTTCTCGGTATCTGGCCATATATGTGTGCTCCTTTTATATGTGGTTTTTGTTACAGTTTATGTTTATCTTAGGAAGCTGAATTGAGCAATGCAATCAACCTAATGAGTTTTTAACACAAACTATTTTTGAGCTCCTTGTCATTGAGCCAGAAAGTTATATTTTGTCTATTGGAAGCCTTTTTTAAATGCTTGTTTGTGTGAAGCGTGAACTAGGATGTGTTGTTGATTTAAATAGTAGTATAGTTAATTTTCATGACACTAGAGCACCATGAATGATTGGATCATGTGATCAAATATAAAACAAATGGCTAGCCTTATGAATATATGCACAAATTTGAATTTGAATAGATGCTAGTGGTTAACGGTGTGTTTGGTTTGTGTTTGTGCTTCTGCTTGTATTTTGTGTTCATATTTTATGTTTAATTGGCGACGTGATGTGATGTTTTGATTTAACTATTAAATTATGAAAATATCATGATTATGTAATTAAGAAAACATGTTTCTGCTTTTCACTTATTTGAAGCCTAAAACATGATTTTCAGATTAGCTTGTATGTTGTCTTTAATCTTTTCACATGTAATGAATCAAGCCTAAAACATGATTTTCAGATTAGCTTGCTTGTTGTCTTTAATCTTTTCACATGTAATGAATCATGGTATCGACTATATATCATTATCTCATACTACACTGACTATAACCCCTACTTTGGGTTTCAGCCAAATAAAGGGTGTTCCTTTAATGTGAGATGTTATAACTAATTTAATTTATTTATTTATTAGTTTTTTATTTAGTAAGGTTATAACTCTATTTAGATTTTAGCATAAAATCATTTCTATTGATTTGTTAAATGAGCTTTTTACTTTTCATTGAATTGAAAATTTCTTGCTTTTAGTGCTATCTGTGCTATGGACACACATGTAGCTCATATACGCCATATGCTAGTGTTATTATAAGCTAGAATGTTCTTCAGGTTAAACATAATGTTGTCGTGGAGAGGAATTTGCATGGCCATGGTATTGTTTCTTTTCTTAGTTTGAGAAAAAAAAAAAAAACCCTTGAATTCTATAAAGCTAAAGCCGTTCACTGTATTTGCAATGAACTTGAGCATAATTCCCAGACGTTAGTGCTTACTAGTGTTCTTTTTAAATCTTGGTTATCACAATCCTAAGTAGTCCAGTTTAGCCCATTCTGCGTTTACAAAATCTAACATTAATGGAGCATTACAGCTATGTATATATATAATATACATGTTACCTAACTGTGGCAATTAATTAATAGATGTTGATTTCTTGATGTAAATGTCCTATGAAATTACAGGATTGCTGCCAAGTTGTCAATGCTTGAGGCGAACCCGGCCATTCACCATTGAACCAGCGGTTATTAAAATAATTTTGAAGTTCATCCATCCTTGTCAGCGAGGACTGGTAATGCAACCAATCGCTCACTGTGATTATGACTTCGGCCTTTGTTGCTAGTGCCGTAGACAGATAGTTATACATTAAAATGTTTGATACATTACATGTCATTCAGGTTTATTCTCTTGAGCCACATTTTTATTTTTTTGATGCCATGCTTGTTCTTATTGAAGTAGGTGTGTGTGTGAAAACATCCAAGTACGGAGGGATGACCGTTGTCCTGTTCTCTTTGTGCAGCTCAGGGTTGAGTAAAAGCTACGATTGCGTCAGGCCAGCACGACTTTGAATGAGGTCCACTTTTTGCATGCATAACTGTCGTTTTGTTCGTATTTAAGGTTGCACTGAAACATCACGTCGCAGTCCATGTTACTATAATCTCGATTTAGTATGGCTAAGATTGGCGCATAGATGTAATTTCTAAAACTATTCAGACACGTCACTTCAATGTCTGGTGTTACTTTTTCCGCTTGCTTTAGAATTTCATGATGACATTATCCAAGTAGTATATCTAGTATTTGTGTGTGCTCTAAAGGTTCTTACGTAATTTGCTTCCGATGTTATTACAAAAACTACTGTCTGGGTGAACAGATTGATAATGTCATCGCGCTTGAAACTTACCTGTGGTTTTATTACTTTAACTCACTTGAATTTTTCGATCTTTATGTTCTTGGTGAGTATTTAAATGATTCATACATTGCAGTGTAGAAAGCATATTAATTCTTCAGATGTATTTAATTTGCAGACAACGATGCGTCGGGAGAAGCAAGGCATGATAATTCTTGTCGTCTTTCTTCCTTAGTGGATTTTTCAAGTGAAATAGTTGTATGAAATTTGTATTTTACCTCAGAGAATGTCGATTACATGGTTACAGTGTCTCAATTTTAATTTTTGATAAATTTACACTGGCTTCCATTGAATTTTATTTTAACTGATTGCTGTTGTATAACATATGTTATAGGGCGTGGAGGTAAAAACATCCAAATTTCCAAGAAGGAACTATTTGATAACATCGATCGATCGATCATTCTACATATAAACAAGTCGACGATGCCGCCGCCACAGGTCGGGATACTTAAGCTACATATAATCCAAACAGGGACAGCTTTCATTATTAAGGGGACTCAAATGTGGTTTTTTTTTTCATGGATTCAAAGGATGGTTTGAACCCAAGAAGGCCTCTAATTCTTGAAGAACTCCAGGGGATGTTTCTCATCAAGGTTATGGGTCCACACGACGTTGTAATACTCGTCGTAAGTGAAGTCCTTGTACCGCTTCCCGTCCGTCGTCAGCGACTCGGGAGCGCTTATTTTGGCACCATCAGCCGGGCAGATGAAGGACGCAATCGAGATCCTCTCCTTGTCAGAATTCGCTATAACTCGGTGCCAGATGCTCTTGTACAACCCGTTGCTAACAGCCTGCGACAAAAACCGAAAACAATCACACAGAGACTAAGAAAGGTACTTTGGGAATTAAAATTATCTCCCTCGCTTACCTCAAGCTGGTCGGCGATGTTGATGACAAAGGCATCGGGGTGCGGCTTGACGGCGAGCCATTTCCCGTCCTTGAGGACCTGCAGTCCGGGGACCTCCGCATCCGGGAGGAGGATTGTGAGGATGTCGGAATCAGTATGCGCGGCGAGCCCGTAAGTGAGGTCGGGTTGGGGGCAGGGTGGGTAGTAATTCATGGACATGTGCTGCGCCTGCTCGGTACCGAAGATTTTCCACAAAGCATCCTTGGGCAGGCCCAAGCTCTCGGCGATGAATTCCTGCAGCCGGAAGCCGAGCTTCCGGACCTCGGTGCAGTAATTGCTGGCGACATCCCTGTAGTAAAGTAAAACAGGCAAATTAAATTAAATTAAGAATGGATGAGAGATAATTAATACTAGCATGTTTTGAAATGTGACCTGAAGGTGGGAGGCATGGAAGGCCAGTCGGGCATGTACTTGTGGAGAGGATAGCAATGGATCCTCAAATAGTCCCGCCAGATATTGACAGATTCAGTATTGACGATGTAGCTGGTGGATAGCCTGCAAGTTTTGGACATGTCCTCCGAGTAGAGCTTCATCTTTTCCTCCACTGGTAAAGCGTAGAATTCCCGAACTGTGCTTAACATCTTCTCGGTCGTCTCCTTGGGGACTCCGTGATTGATCACCTGATTTCAATTCAACTCAAACCACGATTCAAAATATTATACTATATGCTTTAAACTCTAATTTAGTGAAAGGAGAGGGACCAAAAGTGAAAATTATTATTATGCTTATTAATATCCATCCAAATTTTATAAGCAAAAATGTTTAATAGTATTTTCTTCTTTATAAAAAATTTAAATACTTGTTTTAACTTGAAGCGTCAATCAATCCTTTTCGAAAAAGTATATATGGGTTAAACTCTAATTTAGTGAGAGAATAGGGACCAAAATGAAACTAACCTGTTTGGATTCTTATTATTATTATTTACTAAAACAATAATTCACTTTTAGTCCATCTTTTTTAACTAAATCTCCGTTTTAACCCGTATAGAATTTAATCCAAGGGTGCGTTTGTCTGCTACTTAAGTTTTGAGTTCAAATTTTGAATAATAAAAATTACTAGTTTAAAAATATGATATAAAAATATTAATATAATATTTTATATGTTTTTTTAAATATAATACTCGTTTCTTATTTGGACGTTGGATATTTATTATTATATATTTTTTTTAAACATTAATTTTATTTTTTTTTAATATCTACCAAGAGTAAATTTGTCGATTCAAAATAAAAAAAACAATTAAATAAAAATTAGATAAAAATTGGATGGAGTATATATATATATATATGTTGGATTTAATACATTTAAGTGTGTTTGTTTGGGGGTTTGGATTTTGAGTTGGGATTTGAATAGTAAAAATTTTGAATTTGAATAGTTGTATGATGTGATATAAATAGGGTTTGATGTGATGTTTTAAATGTAAAATTGATTTTTAGTATAATATAAAAAATGAAAAATAGGTGTTTGATTTGATATTTTTGGGGGGAAAAAATTAGATGAATAGTGAAAATCCACCAAAATCCTTCAAACAAACACACCCTTAAGAAAAATAATAATAGGAAATAAAAAAAAAAAAAAAAGTAACGTAAAAACCGAAAGAAACAGATCCTTTAGAATTAGGAAATGAACCTTGAAGAAGCCGTAGTGGCGGCAGGCGTCGGCGATCTGGTTGACGACGGCGGCCCTGTCGGCGGCGCCCAAGTCGATGATGGGAATGTCGTCGCACTGGACAACCTCGGACAGGCGCGGCCGGTCGGATTCCGGGCGGATGTAGTTCTTCGGAAGGGTCGTGAATTGGGCAGAGCTTATCAGTTTGGTCGCCATGGCTGCCTGCAATTTTACAAAGCATTAGACAGACGAACACCAAACACACAGAGGTAAATAAATACATGATTTATTTTAGATATATAAATAAATTAAAAAAGATATGAACAAAGTAGAATTGAAGAAGGATTAAAAGACCTGATCAGGTCTTCTGTTCGATATTTGTATGAAAGAATCCTTGGGTGAAACAAACAATGTTGGGAAAGGGCTGTTTATATAGAAGACGATGGACGTTGGGTGGGGTTGGGGTGGGGTGGGTGGGGTAGTGAAAAATTAATTCTTTTTTCTTAATTTATCCATTAATATTATTGGGTAGTAAGTAATTATTTTATAATTCTATCCGTCTTGCAAAATATTTGGATGGATTTATATAAATATTTCTTAAAACTTTATCCATATTCTTTAATTAAAAAATCTAAATCAATTACTATTTTTTTCCTTAAAACAAATTTCAAATCTATCTCCAACTTTATTATAATTTTCTAATTTCTTGTTTACGTCAAGGTTTTTGAAAATTTAGAAAATTTTGTGAGTAGAAAAAAATTGAACATTTGATCCCACATATTTGTAAGAGAAAATAAATAATAGATTTGATATTTCTTAAAAAACAATTGTATTAATAAATAGTTCCAAATAATTAAAAATTTATACATAAAAATTTAAAAAGTACTTCTCTTTGTTTTGATAAATATTTTTATATTTTGCTCAATCTTACAATCATGTACAAATAAATTGTAAAAATAAAAAAATAAAAAATAGGTATTATTATTTAGTAATTAACTATTATTATTATTATTATTATTATTATTATTACTATATATATGAATTGTTGTTATAATTATTACTATATATCTATATATGTTGTTATTATTATTATTACTATATATATATATATACACGAGTTTAATGTGATATTATTTATATATGAAATGAAAATATACAAAAAAAAAAAAAAAATAGTATAATTTTTTATTAAATTAAAAAATGAAAATATTTTTTAATAATAAAAAAAAAGCATAAATTTAGATGATATAAGATGAATTATTATTATTACTATATATGTGGTTATAATTGACTGATTTGAATTCCCATAATGGTAAATATATATTAATTGAATAATTATTTGATTTCAGTGAAAAATAAATGTACAAATATACACACTAATTTTCCACGGACTATAAATAAAAAGCGTCTAGATTCAATGTATCTAATTTTAACGTAATAATCACTTTCAATTTATTGGCATATTATACATACTCACAAATAAATATTTTGAATTTACGTAAAATGTCGCTATATTTGAAAAATCAATTTAACAATATATTTAAATTCTTTATTTGATTACACTAATAGCAAATATAATTAAATATAAAAACTGATTTCAATATATATATATATATATTAAATAAATTGAAAAGGGGAAGAAAATTGTACTGTAATTGCAACGACTTCATTATAATGTAACAAATTTTTATTACTACGGTCTCGTAAAGACGAGAATGTTCCACTGATTCATTGAACCTGGACACATTTTGTTACAGAAATAATATGCATTGAATGTAGACAAAATTAGAAGATCGTGTTGGTAATGCAGTTGATGTCAGAAAAACTATATATATATTTTCTATGAAATTTAAATTTAAATCTAAATAAAAGACAGTTTTCACGTGAATATTGTTTGCTTTCAGTCTGTAAAAGTTGTTTGTTTGGTATTTCTTCAAGTCGTTTTTAGTTTTTTGAAGAATTTGATTTTGAATTTTTCGATACTATTCAGTCTTTTTTTTTAAAAAAAAAAAAAGATATATATATTTCTTGTAGAACTTCACGTCAAACTATATTTAAATCATTTTTTTTGTAAAAAAAAAAAAAACAATATTGCAATTCTCAATAATACTTTTACAATTCAAAACAATTAATAATAAAAATTGCACAGAATTAAAACATTAAAAAGAATCATATTTTTGTCATTACTAAATAGAAAAATAAATATGTTAAAGATTATGTTATATGTTATATGTTATATGTTTAAGATTTTACAATCTCAAGATATCTACTAAAAAATAATTTGTCCTTTTTATTTTATAAAACCTAACACAAATACAATAATTAAAATTTATTTGATTGCAGTTTAAAATTAATTTGAAATAAAATATTATGCAGAGTAAATCTTGTTGATTTCAATCTGAAATTTGAAAGAACAAACTCTATAAATAAATATATTAATAAAAGAAAAATTTACTGATACAACAGATTTTCTAATCCACCTTTAAATAATATAGGAATTTTTTTTCAAATAAAAAATATTATTATTCAATCTATATAATTAGGGAAGACAATGGGTAGGGTATGCCTGAATATATATGTACCCAAGACCCTACCCATATGTACCCAAGACCCTAACAATAAAATTGAAACTATAAATTACAAATAGAAGAAATAATAAAATATATTATTTAAATTAACGGGTCCAAATCCGGATCTGGATCGAGTAGATTATGCTATTAAACCCTGGATCCGACCTGCCCCTAAAAATTTATTAGGGACCCGACTCATATCCGATCAAACACCCAAATAATTGGATTCGACCCCAAATAAATGGGTAGGATCTAGGTCAGGTGTCGGGTCTACCCCTATCCATTGTCATCCCTACATATAGTTTCTAATATATATGCATTATTTTACTTACAAAATATTACGTTAAAATATTATTCAAATTAAAATTTAATATAACAAATTCAAATTCAAATTAAAATCAAATAAACACTGGGTTGTTCACTTTGGATGTGCATGATTTTGATATAAATAGGCGTTGATGTGATGTTTTGAATGTAAAATTAATTTTTATTATAATAATATATAAAAAAATAAGTATTTGATTTAATATTTTTTGGAGAAATATAATTAATAGTAGAAACCTCGATAAGCTTGACAAAAAAACACACCATTTGTATTTTTAGTGACACGATTTTCTATAATTATTATTAAAAATAATACTCCCTCCGTCCACACACAAAGTAAATGTTTACTTTTGACGCGATGTTTAAGAAATAATAGTATTTTAATTACAATGTGTAGTTAAAATTAATGTAATGATATTTTTACCCTTGTTTTTTTGTGTAAAAGTAATAATGTGATATAAAGTAAGGGTATTTGTGGAAAAAAGTAAGGTATTTAATGAAATGTTTACTTTGTAATTGGACGTCCCAAAATAAAAATATGTATATTTTCTAACTGGACGGAGGAAGTATTATACACATATTAATACAATATATATTATATACACTTTATATACTCACAAAAGTCAATAATTTAGCATAAATTATTATTTTTTATATTAACAATTCTTCTTATAACATAAAAAATTAATTCATTCAAAATTTAAGGTTAATACATATTTCTATGGAAAAGTGAATAAATACTACTCCATTTAATAATTTTCCTCCAATGACGTATATGTTATATATATATATATATACTTAAACACATATATATGATTGATAGAAATGGCTACCTATTTTTATGTAAGAATCTTTAATAGTATAATATTTGATATTTACAGCGGATGAACGAAGTGGTAATATTGTAGGCAAATATAGCTAAATTTGTCAATTAACTCTACGTTATTAGTTATACTGAAGATATTGGGTGTTGTTGAAGGAGGGACGAATGTATGTGAGGCCCCTCTCCCCACCCCATCCCCTTTTAATTTTTAACTTTTTGTTTTTATTTTATAATACATAATATAAAAAATAATAAACAAATTAAAAAATTGCTAAAAATTAATAGAGTATTTATGTGAAAATTTAAAATTTTAATTTAAAATTTAAATAATAAAAAAATTATATCATAATAATTGTTTGATGCTATAAAAATAGATATGAACAAAAAAGTAATAAATAATAATTAAAAAAAAGAAAAATTCTCAAAAAATTCTCAACGGAGATGATACTTTTAAGAGCTATTTTTTTTAATAAATGTTTTTACTATTTATCAATTTCATATAATAAAAAATTCATCTGGTAATATGCAATTGTCACTGTAGATTGATATTTTGCAAGATTTTCGAAATATGATAACTCCATTGATAAAATTATTGGATAACAAATAGATGATGATCGTTTCGAAATTTGAAAAATTAGCCCCCCTCTCATCCCGGTCTGGTTCCGCCTCTGGTTGAGGGTTGTGCTTTTCCATTTTCATTTGCTATTTTGTAGTGATTTACTTATAGAAAATATTATTTGGTATATCGCAATATTTACTTTAATACAATAACTTAGTTATAATATTCTAATGCTATGATATATTAAAAAATGAATTTCAAGCTAATGCAGGAGTTTTCGAGTTTGTTGGGCACGCAAAACAAAAAAAATTAAATCCATTTGGACGGTTGATCAATTTATATATCATTTTGAACAGAATACTTTACGCTGCGCCGTTAAAAAAAAAAAAAAAGATTTATATAATGCATTATATTTCTTTCGCTCTTCTTTCCCTCCAAACCGACTGGACGGTTCTATTCCTTCTCATCCAACAAAATCGGCCACTTTATCTCCTCTTTCCATCCCAACCGAATGTACGTCTTTCGTACTTCCAACCGACTGGACGGTTCTCCTTCTCAACTACCAAATCAAGCCACTTTCTATTCTCTTTCCATGTCAACCGACTGGACAATTCTCCTCCAATCCGACCAGTTCTCTCAGACACATTTTTTTTTCTTCCTCTTCTCTATTGCATAGATGAATTTTCTTAATTTACAAATCATTTGCTTTGGGTCACTAATCTCAAAAGTTTCTGGTTGTACCAAATAGATCGTTTCATCAATATCACCATTTAGAAACGTCGTCTTTACATCCATCTAATGGAGGTCTAAATCAAAGTGTGCCCACAAGAGCCATGATTGTCCTAAAAGAATCTTTCGAGGAAACCGAAAAGAATTTCACTTTATAGTCAATCCCATTTTTCTAAGTATAGCCTTTAGCTACAAGACGTGTCTTATACCTCTCCATATTACCATTTGCATCTCATTTGGTTTTAAAGATCCATTTGCAACCCACGAGTTTTGCATCTTCTGACAATAGGACAAGTTTCCAAACTTTATTATCTTGCATTGGCTTGTACTCATCACACATTGCATCGACCCATTTGGGTGAATAAGGACTCTTCATGGCATGATAAATATTAATTGGATCATCATCAGTCATGCCATTGTTGTGCTCGCTTTCTTGAAAAATTATCACATAATC